GTCTTTCTACAGGACCATCAATTAAAGGGACAACTTGTAATTAAATGTCACTCCCAATATCCTCTGGGAATCTTTCCGTTAAACTTATCAACGCTACACAAATGCCCTCTTTGAAGTCCTTACCCTTGCTCAGTACAAATGCCCAATCAAGTTTGGGACAGATTCAACACTTTCTTGGCAACGGATATTATTACACTTCAATTTGTCAGATGTGGGTCGTTTCCTTGAGCTAATTCGTATACCCAAATTTCTTAATTTCCTATCATGTGTCTTCCTAACCTGTCGGAAAATCTTTTCATGTAAGCTATTCGCTATACTGTGGAATTTCAGGAATTCTTCCGAACTAAGAGCATCGGCCACAATTTGCTTAATTCTACTCTTAATTCTGATTTTTTGAATGTAATTTTGCAATGTTTTCCTTAAGTCTAATATCAAAAAAATCATGAAAAACATCCAAAATGTCGTTCTTAGTCTTACAAGTTAAATTAGGTCTAGAAATAATACAAAATCATGGTATACTTCTGCGGGTAAAGCAAACTTTCAAAAAGCAAATTTGATTGAATTGCCTGGCCAACGACTTCTTATTATTTGGGCTTACTTTCATTTCGAGTAGAAGTGTTTGGTGAAGAGATTCGAAGGTCGGTTCCACCAGAAGACGGATGCCTCTTGACCAGCTGTCGATTGGCTTTACTGGAGCATTCATGCTGACGCTGTTTCCGAGGCAATCTCCTTCGATTTCGGTGAACCCGTGCTGAGCTTTCGTCCGTCATATGACGGACATCATCAGAACGAAGTAACATCGTCACAACAAAATTTAAGCTTACAAATCTCTTCATCAAAAACTTCTTATTTTTTGTATTTAAATGACAAATTCCGAAAAGAATGTCAAGTGTATAAAAAACCAACTAGGGTTGCAGCCGGTTACCTTCATCGCTTGTTTTAGTATATTTTTACTCTATTTCGTAAAGTATGCAATCTTGCTCTGACTATGTTTGTTACAGTACTTACAAAAGTTTAGCCCAATTTCATCGAGGTCGTGGGACGATGAGCTGAGGACTTCTTTGCAAAATCCAACATTCTTCATTACGCGAAAATCCTCCTTCGGTTTCCGTGGAAAAAACATATCGCGAATTCCTTCCAACCTACTTTTCCCTTGAAATGGAGAATCATGCTACAATGGAATCTTTCCATTTGTTGGAAAAGGAATGATGAAGAGATTCGTTGGTTGATATTGCCGGAAGAGGACAGCCAAGTCTCGTTCTTCTGTAGTTGTTTGGCCTTAAATCAATGTTCTAGTTGACGCAGTTCACGAAGCATCCTCCCTGGTTTCGGGTCAAAACTGGCTTAACTCGACTCATTAAGCTTTAATGACTCGGGCTTGTGGCTAGATTTGTGTAATTACGCCGATTTAGTAACTATATCACATAAATACCTTAACCCATGCTCGCGCACATACAAACAGACACCTTCAAGTGAAAGTACCGTGAGTAATATATAAAATAAAAATAACCAAATCTTCAGTAAACTGTCTACTTATATTTATCAATTGTTGCCGTGCAGTTATGGGCAAATATAGCAAATAGGATAAAGCCAGAAAGTCTTCTTGACCTTGTTTTAACTTGAGACTTTGACTATCATGAGTCTGAGTTCTGCTGGTATTCATCATTTGCTTGACGAGGGCGTCAACAAAAACGTCGTATTGCAGCCAAACGACTGGAGAACAATGGAAAGCGATTGTCGTCTTCTGATGGGAATACTCAACGAAGCACTAGGTGATGCACGTTCAAACGAATTGAATGTTTCCGCAACAACCTTCAGGTACCTCTGTAAAGAGTGAATATATATTGTCTATTGGCAGTCACGAGAACCTACTTACAAACTACAAATAAGTAATGCCAGAGTAAATACAACTTTGCTTCATCGACGATTATAAACCTCAGAATGTGGGGTTGGAAAAAAACCGGCTTTCCTTGAAGTTCCCACCTGCCCCATGACTCAAGAGCACTCATGGCAGTGTGGCGGAAGAGTAACCATGTCAATATAATACGCTAAACTAACACAACCGGGTTCGAGTCCTGCTGTGAGTGCTGCTGAAGCAAGGTGACGTGATTTCGAAAACTCATTCCAGTCCAGCCTGGATGAAAATAACTTTTGGAAAGCCCTTAATCGCCTCAAACGAAATAGGATGAATTAATCACATAAAGATATTATGTGATAGAGTCCTGATTAATCTTACGCCGCAACTTCGGTTATTCTTTTATTACTACGTTTTAAGATAACTATCAAAAATTACTCTGCATTTACTCACAAAAACAAATTTTAATATGAGATGTATTCACCCAATTTCGTTTAAGGTGATGAAGGACTGGTAGAAGGAGAATTTTCCTACACTTATATGAGTCGAGCGTGTCAAGCTCCCATCCTGCACTGTCGCGGTTCGACTCCTGCTGAGGGTGTTGATAAGACTGATGCGAGGTAGAAACTACAGTCCACTGCTGCTTGGATGAGAACATCTTTTGGGAAAGCAAGGCTATGTAAAATTGAATGGAAACGTCAGCTCAACTCATATTATTGTGGGAAAATTCTTAATCTACCATTCCTTCATCACCTTAAACGAAATTGGGTCAATACATCTCATACTACTGATTTACTGCTAATCTCAACAACGATACTTAATTCAAAAAATAAAGTAAATTCTCAATATTAGTTTTATTCACACAATTTCGTTTAAGGATGAGAACAAATTTTGGTAAAGCAAGGCTGTGTGAAATTGAATGGAAACGTCAGCTCAACTCATATTATTGTGGGAAAATTCTTCTTCTATTATTTCTTCATCACCTTAAACGAAATTGGGTGAAGACATCTCATACTACTGATTTACTGGTAGTATCGAAACAATACTTAAATGCGAAAAATAAAATAACGTAGCCGATTGTTATGGCAAATATACATTGTGGAATGAGAAAAACTTTTTGGAAAACAAGGCTATGTGAAATTGAATGGAAACGTCAGCTCAACTCATATGATTGTGGGAAAATTCTTCTTCTACCATTCCTTCATCACCTTAAACGAAATTGGGTGAAGGCATCTCATACTACTGATTTACTGGTAATCACGAAAATAATACTTAATTCGAAAAATATGTGAAATTGAATGGAAACGTCAGCTCAACTCATATGAT